AGTATCGTTTAAATACGAATGTTATAACATAATACACAAGTAGTACATGTTACAATAAAATTTCAAAGTACATATCAGTTATAAAAAGAATAACTATTATAAAAATATATTATCAGCTTAGCATAATTTACATGTTGTTAGATTAAATATAATAATCTTAAATTATGAATATTGTATAAAATAATATGATTGATATATTTACAGAAACTAAATGAATATTGTAAACTTTGTCAATTGTATTCGGATAATGAGACGTTAGTAAAATAGAATTTTTTTGCTCAATAAACTATTATTTATCGAATAAATAAAACCAAAAATCTGGAGAACCATAACTTATAATTATATTAAGTATTAAGTAAAACTATTGAGATAATAGATAATCAAAAATCCAGTAAAACCCTAAACATAATATAGGTAGGTTTATCTTTCTTCTCTTAGGCGTCGGGAGCTTCTATTAATCCTACTGCAATGCATGCTTCCGCAAACGTTGGGTACGTTGGTCCTTTTCGTACATGTAGCAGTGTTTTAAGGTAGAAAAGTTCACCACATTCTTCAGGGACGTCTGGTAGTTGTATATCATAGGGAACATTGTTTCTTCTGTCGCGTAAACGAGGGAGCCACTTTCTAATCCTTTGATGCCAAACCCACTTGGTTGGAAACTCTGTGTAGAGATAACGCATCGCTTCGTAATTCTCACGATTAGAGTCCATCCAGCCTTCGAGTTTTGTTTTAGCCATATTTGGCTTGGGTAGGTGGATTGGTAGAATTATCGGCATTCGATATACTCTGAGTTAGGGTTCTGCTTTCTGAAAGACGTGAAGTATTTAGTGGATTCTTATATAAGCACATGATTGTTGGATTCCTTTATTTACATTGTTTGGGCTGGATACAGAAATTTCATAGATTTTTGGGCTTAATTTTGCATAAATATTCGCTTTAGTTATATAAATGGTTGTTCGAGGAGTACAGTTTATTGTGATTTATCGGTAATATTAAGTTGTATTTTAGCTGATACATCAGTATTCATAATGTTGTACATTTTTAAAATTTATTATATGTTCCCAACATTTACCTCGGTTTTTGCAATTTATATACAATCGATGATACAAACACAATATATCTAAATAATAATATTCTAATGGTCGATATACTCGATGTCTATGCGAAAAACTGTTTCCTCTCTCTTCACTTGTTTACTGATAAAGTGACTTGCTATAGTCCTCTGTCACAGAATTACTTCGTTTTCTTGGAAATTTTTGAATCTGATAGTTGTTTTAAGATGTCGCGGTTCTTAAAAGTCTCTGAAATAGATCATCTGGTTATCGATCCTGCTCTTGATTTTATGCTGCTCAAGAAATGGCATGAAAAGATAGACATCGCCGAAATAAACTAAAGCTGATCTTCGTTGATATTCATGTAAGTTGATTCATCAAATCTGTAATTAAATGTTGTGTCTTTTCATATTTCATACGATTTATACATGTCCTGTTTGAATCTTGCATGATACATCCATTTATTTGAACATGATCTTATAATAGGTCACTGCAGTCTTTTGAGTAGTTTTGTAGTTAAGACTTCGAATGCTATAACTCGTGTAGTAAGGCATCCTTTTAAGGTGAAGTTTGTTACCAATACAACGTTTCTTACGGCCAGTGAGCGTATAAATTCTCTGTTTTTATCATTCGCTGATTTTGGAGATGTTCTTGGAGGCCGTCTCGATGACACGTATAGTACCGGTAACTTCTTCATTTATGAATAATAGATCTGATTACCATAAAAGGTAAGAAAGAGTTGCTAAAATTTGACTACCCAATTTCTACATAATTGATAGGCGTTCTTGTGAATGTTGGTGAGCTCGAGATTTTTGATGAGACGAAGATACAAGAAGATTACGCTGTAATTCCTTTTGAGCTTCAAAATAACAGGTGAATGAATTGAATATTCAGCATGAACAATAACAATGTATCTCATTGTTTGAACATTTTCTTGTGTAGAAAACGTGTGATCGAGTGTTATGCGACGGGAAAATTGGCTGAAGATTTTACATTGCAATGGAAACAAGGTCACAGTGTAGAAGTTATCTGTATCCTGAGGTGGTGGACTATCAATAGAAATTATGACGGTATTGCCTTATTATATACAGTTGGTATTGTTCACTTATTACAATAGATTACTCTTCAGTGAATTACTGTATTAAATCTTTGTAATAGGTACTTTTAATGTCATCGCAAGAAAGAAGTATTGTGAATTTATTTTCAATGCAGACATTCTGGATGTTCATCGGTTTTGTGAGAGGTAATATTACTATATTCAGAAATTTTAATTAGAAGATCTAATGTATCTTTAGTAATATAATGGATCTAATTGCAGGTTACAATATGACGAAGAGGTTTCCACTGCAAGGTGTGTTTCGAGATATCCATCGACAGAGAATCTATGACTCGTGGGAAAGAATGGTTTCACTTTATATGTTAGTTTGAGTGTCTTTTTCTTGGTGGATTTATTATGTTTCTTTTGCTTGCTTCTACATTTGAACAAAAGAATTGGTAATGGTAATGTCTATTCCTAAAAATTACATTTGGATTTTAATGCATGGAACAAGTTATTAGCTGATTTATTAATTTTTACTTGATTTATTTGGAAATAAGCAGCATAGTGGTTACGCTTTGGACTAACTAAAATTCGTAACAATTACATCAGCCCAGTAATAAAAAAGGCCCTTCGGTAGGCTTGGTGACAAAGAATTTTCAAATTCTAAAAATCAATATGAAACGTTACTATTCTAATTTCTGAATTTTAATGGCTAAAATCTGTCTTGAAGAATGCGAACTGTCACGAATAACAAAAACTCGGAACCGTTTGATTTTTTTTATTTATTCTATACATGCACAATGATTCGAATTTTGACAATGTAACTTCTCGATATCCGACTTATTTTCGAGACTCTACTATAAAGAAGCAATCGGCGCAGTCAGTTCTTAGCATAACAGACTTAAAATATTTTCAATATATACAGAGAAAAAGATATCTTTAATCAAATTTAGACTGTTTTCTGAAATCTTATAATGGCTGGTGTCTCTAGAATTAGTGAGTTGGGTTCTTCAAGAACTGATTGGACTATAAGCGTAATGGTTTACAAAAGATGGGTTGAATTAATACCAGATGGTGGCGACGTTCTTCATTTCATTCTCCTTGATGACCAGGTAATTCTTCTTGCTAGATTTTCGCTTGCTTTTGTTTACTTCAATTTGGATTTTTTATTTGTAAAAAAAAAAATTTGTATATGTTATAGGGTTCGAAAATTCAAGCAACAGTGGGGAGTGAAGAAATGATTTCTTTTTTTATAAGAGGCTCCATGAGGGGGGCATATGGAAAAGAATACGAAATTTCAATGTAATATCTGCGACATCGGCGAGACAAATGACAAAGAATTGTTTGAAAATTGAGTTACAATCTAACACTCGAATCTTAGAAGATTTCACAACTGGAAATTTTGTACAATGGAGACTATCCACATATGCAGATTCTTAGTTACGAGAATCTCTATCTTGGCAACTTTCAACGAAATTGTCCTGTTGGTGAGTCTTTCTTGATATTACTCATTATAATTTTAGATCGATAATTCCATTTTTAGATGTTTTTCTTCTGAAACAATACTTACAGATTTAGTTGGTGATGTTGAATCGGTTGGTGAACTTGAGTTGGTTAGAGATCGTTCGTTTGAAGTTTTTGAGTCAAAAATGACATCAAGGATTGAGTTTACATTGATAGATGAAACGTAAGTGTTTATTTATATTTTAATACTAAATCTATTTAGTTTTATTATACGGAACAACTCAATCTAATATTTTTTTAGTGAACGAATGCTAACATGTTATGCACATGAAAAATTGGCTATTGAGTTCAACGACATGTGGTATTGTTGTAATGAACATCAGTTGGTTATTTGCATTCTAAGTGACTGACGAGTCGTTATACACAATGGTACCAATCATCTCTAACTATCTCAAGTTTATTTATTTAATACTTTAGAAAATCGTGATCTTTAATGATCTTTATTCATATCAAAACTTTTTTGTAGAGGAATATCACGTTTCTGATCAAGTCGGCCTCTCAAGGGTTTTGTTCAATCCTGATCTTCAAGAGGCACTTGAGTTACGGGATATGTTGTAAGAAAACTATATTTTAGAAACTAATATTATTTACAATGTACGATAATGATCAACTGTTGTCGTAACTAATATGTTTTGTATATGCTAGAATATGATTGGAGATAGTGAAGATGATGCAGACGAAGAAGAAAATCATTTGGATATCGATTTATAGGGATTTGATTTGTGCAATTCTTATAATATCATTTGTTTTAATTTCTTCCTTATGTTTAAAGTGATACCATCGGATAGTCATCAGATAGTCAATAGTGCTTCTTTAGAAACATATGATGACATGAAATATGTTACTTATATAATCACTAATAGCTAATTTTCTTTTTTAAATGTGTTGATAAACTAACTAAGTAAATGTTCATTGTCTGCGCCATGCGCGGACCACCATCTAATTATTTATATAGACTTGTGCATAGCGTGAATTAAAAGCCTCGTAAGGTAAGATTTACGAAAACTAATTTTTTGATAAATTTTTGATTTGTTCTATAGAGTATAGACGGTCAAATTGACGTCTAACAGCTTTAGAAAAGGAATATAAAGGCGTCAACGTCAAATAAATAAAAAAGAATATAAGGCTTTAATTGGTGACCAATAAAAAAAGGAACAGGAATGAAAAGGAAAAGAATGAAAGGAACAAAAGAAAAAGAATGAATAGGAATGAAAAATATATAAGGAAGTAAATATATATATTTTGTTCCTCCCCAATTTTAATAAGGAAAATATTTGTTCTATAATTCTTTATATAATAAGGAATAAGAAAGAATGATGAGGAAATATTATTACTAGCAAATGGTAAAAATTTTAAGGAATGAAGAGGAATTCATTATTCTCCTTATTCTCTTTGTCAAGAGTTGAAGCCTAAATTGATGAATATGTGATGTGATATATTCTCATATCCAATATACCCAGCCCAAGCCCAAAACGCCCAATAGATATACTACACCGAAAGCAAAATATCGTTTTGATCGAGAGAAGTCCGAGTTCAGGAATCGCAAGGAAAATCCCCAAATTGTGACCGACTTAGGGTTTCCACGAGCGACCACAATGTCGACCGGCAATTCCAAGCAAGGCGACACCCGATTAGTGGTTGCTGCCACGACGGCATCGGCGTTAATGGAGACGAAGAAGGCTGATCACGGAGGATCTACCTCTATCGTGGAGTATAAACCGCCGGTGATGCTAGAAGACGAGGAGGATCTAGAGATAAAACTCAGACGAATCCTGGAGAACGTCCCTGTTCGCGTTAGTAACACCTCCGGAAGTTCTGCTGGTTCCGGTTCCGGCGATTTTCACCAGGTAATTATAAAATCAGAGGATAATATGATTGATTACTACGATACTCCGTCGATATTCTGCCGGTTTTCAACTTTTGGAAATCGGAAACTGCAAATATCATAGAACATTGGAATCATCTTTAACTGAAGAATTTAGCCTTATATAACACTGAAATCATCTTCAACTGTAGAATTTAGCCGGTTTATTTGCGAGCAATGCTTAGTGTCTTCTTCTTAGGTATAGTTAGGTTGGGTTTTCAACTTCTGGAATCTAAATTTGCAGAGAATAGAACATGAATCGTCTTCAGTGGTTTATTTGCAAACAAGGGTTAGTCTTTTGTGCTTAGGCATAGTTATGAATGGTTTCAAAGCTAAACTCAATCAATTAAAAGATGTTCCTTTTCGTAGATAGAGATCTGAATTTTGTGGAACTGATTTTTTTTTCTGACATTGTTTTCTTGTGAAGGATCATAATCTTTCATGCGTAATTAAAATTTTGATTAAGAACTTGAACTGAGAAAGGGGTTTTGAGTATTGTGTTAGTTCTTTTGATCGTGGCGTAGTGCTCTCTGATGTTTGGCCCTGCAAGTTTAAGTTTAGGTGTTTAATAGCTTCAACCTGAACTTTTTCTATAAGTAATTTACATATATAGAAAGACTTGTAAACATCCTTTGTATATTTTCGACTTGTGCAATAACGATGCATCTGTCTCTGTTACAGTACCGGCAAATGAGGCGAAGAGAACAAGACCGACTCACGAGGATGGATATTGATTATAACAAGCGGTTACAAATGGCGGAATTTACTATTAGAAGAGAAGAGAAACTGAAAGCTGCGGAGGAAAAGACATCAAAGAAGCGTTTGAAACGCCAAAAGAAGAAGCAGAGGAAGCAGGAGAAGAAGAGTAAACCAAACACTGAGGAACAAGCAAAGCAACGTACAGAAGAAGTATCATCTGATGATGACGACAATGAAGAAGAAGAGTCTCGTGTAGAAGTTCGTCCACGTCCGATATTTAATAAGTCGAGGTTTCAGGGGAAGTAAGCATAGCTTTTGTTGTGACATGTTAATTGTTACATGAATCGAAAAACTCTATTTGCAAGATGAGTTTCTTTCTTTTCCTTTCGTTTTCAACGTTGGAGGAATATATAAGGAAAAGCAATGGAGCTGGTTTGACTGGTTTTGTTAAAGATTTAATTAGCTAGATAACCGAATAATCTTATTCTTAAACCGAAATAATATGAGCAGAATAATCATCTAGATAACCGCTATTGAATGTTTATATATTTTGAACAAAAAAAAAGAATGTTTATATATTTAATATAATGTAGAACATCAAGATAATACGTTATTACAACACTTTTACAAAAGAAATAAGCTTGTTTAAAAATAATTTCTAACAAAATAATACAATTTTTTTTTGTTTTAAAAATATTTTTTCATTGGCGTTTACCCTACTTGTTACAAAAAAAGGAGATAAAAAGGAACAAAAAGGTGAAAAGCAGAAAAGAAACCAACCTTTTACCTGCTTTTTAACCAATTAGCAAAGGTTTCATTGGTTTTTTTAATTGATTTTAAAAGGAAATAACAAAAGAGGCTTACATTTAATTACACTAAAACGATGTGCTAAGAACGAATAGAGAGGTACACAGTTTTGAAAAAAGAGTCGCTCAGTTTCTGGGATTGGTGAAAATCGCTGCGATTCCCGCTCAGTTCTTGATTCTGGAGCCAAACTTCGTCATGAAACATTCTAATCTTCATCAATCTTTCGGCGGTGGGTCAGGTTTTTCTTTCTCTCTCACTCAGCTTCAATCATCGTACAAATCCTAAATTCCACTACTGTTTCATCATAGATCTCTCCCTGGATCTCACCGATGATTTCTCAACCTCTTCGATTTTCCCCTTTTCTTCTGATCGGAAACTTCTGTTTCAATGAAATTTTGCAGTCGCGGATTTGATTATGTGGAAGAACCGACGCGGAGGGTTTGTTCTTCTCGGATCAGCCACGTTGTTATGGTTCATCTTTGAGAAATGTGGATACAGTTTCTTGCCTTTTGTTGCTAATGTTCAGCTACTTCTCGTCGTTATACTCTTCCTCTGGGCAAAATCTGCTATCCTTTTTAATAGGTGATCTATCTAACTATCTTAATTTCAGCTTGTTTTTGGAATGTTGAGTGAAGGAATCTCACATTTTGCATCATTTTGTAGATAAGATATGATTATAGAGATTGAGAAGTTTGTTTTTGAAATGTAGAGTGAAAGAATCTCACATTTTGCATCATTTTGTAGATAAGATATGGTTATAAAGAAGCTTGTTTTTGGAATGTAGAGTGAAAGAATCTCACATTTTGCATCATTTTGTAAACAAGATATGGTTATCGAAATGCTTCTTCTTGAAATGTAGAGTGAAATTATCTCACATTATGTTATCATTTTGTAGATAAGATATGGTTATAGATAAGCTTGTTTCTGGAATGTAGAGTAAAAGAATCTCACTTTTTGCATCATTTCGTAGATAAGATATGGTTAAAGAAAATATTGTTTTTGGAAAGTAGAGTGAAAGAATCTCACATTTTGCATGATTTTGTAGATAAGATATGTTATAGAGAAGCTTGTTTCTGGAATGTAGAGTGAAAGAATCTCACATTTTGCATATGGTTGTATTACATCTCTTAAATATGAATCTGAAATTTTCTTCTTTGTCTTGACTAGACCTATGCCTCAACTTCCTAATCTTGAAATCACTGAGGCACCTGTTCTCATGGTGGCTGATGCTCTACGAGTCTTGATCAATAATCTGCTCTCTGTTGCTCGTGAAATCTACGTGGGAAGAAACGCGAAGCAACTCTTTCAGGTAAGTAAACTTTCACGAGGGTTTTGCTTTTGCTTTTGGTTTTGCACTCAGGCTGAGAAATTGGAACATTGCTATTGCTATTGGCAGGTCAGTGTTGTGTTGTGGACAGTATCATTTGTTGGCAATTTCTTAAACTTCCTCACATTTCTCTATCTTGGTGAGTAGTTGTTCCTTTCCATTGCCCTTCACATTGTTACCAAGTTCATCTTGTTGATTTTCTCTGCGTGATTGAAATGAACAGGTATTGTTCTGAGTATGTTGATTCCTATTCTGTACGAGAGATACCAGCATCACATTGATGATAAGCTATCTCTAACACACCGACTCATACAAACACAGTACAGGAAGATCGACGAAAGAATACTACAGAAGATTATCGCTAAGCCCACGAATAAGATCAAGAAGATGCAATAGGCAAGCATACTGAACCCTTTCTTAGGATACTGATTCTTGCATTTCAACACGGAACTGCGTCTCTTTGATACGGTTTTGTCCTCAAGTCTAGTTCAGGACATCTGTAACCAGGAAATTACAGTTTGCGATTTCAATAACAGAGCTTACATATATCAGTGCACTGGTCAAGAGTTTAGAGACTTCTCTCGCTAATCAAGTTTCTTCTTTGGTGAATCTAATCAAAGATGGAGTTTATAGCATAGAACTAGGAGAATCAGTGATATGCGTAGATGTTAAGCCGATCAGATAGACATACATGAGTGATGCGGTATTATTGCATATTCTGGTATAGACATATCATATCGAAGTGATAAACTCTCTTTTCAGTACACCAATGCTAATTAATCTGTTCTGCACTCGTTTTCATTGCATGCAGTAAAAGAAAAGCAAGACAGAATATGACTGAGTGGGAAGAAGGTAAAACCGAGTAAAGGTACAACAGAGCAATGTAACAAGCTATGAGTTTAGATGAATAGAGTTGAGATTCCACAAGTGTCACTCAGAATCAACCCTTCATTTGAAATCTCTCTTTTATAGGAACACTGTGGATTAACAAGTCCATGTCTATGTGTAACTTTGGGAATTATAGATAACACTAACTGGAATATGAGGCTTGCTTTAGGTTCCAATTTTTTTTTGCTTTAGGTTTGACATTGATGCTTCAAAGTCATAGGGTTGACAAGAGATTAACGAAATACTAAATAATTGACGAAATGATTTTATGCCAAAAGTTATAATTCTGTCAACTTTTGTTAAAGTGCTTGTGAGAAACCAAATGTAAAACATCGACAAAGATTACCAAATAATGTCTCACTAACTGACAACTAATATTTGGATTCAATACCATTGTCTAAGTGTCATTTCTAATTCAGACTCAGTCACACCTTAAGTAAAATAGAAGGGACATGATTTGGCTCCATTATCGAGTGCCTTATGCTTTTTATAGTCAATTGTTTGAATGGCTTTGAAACCATTAAAAACATAAGAACGAGAGAAGTAAGTAAGTAACTGTTGGAATAAAATTAATAAACACTTATTGGATTTTATCAATTTGTGTATATGTGAATAAGAATGGGTTGTAGCCTTTACAAATGAAATATTTTTATTGGCTATAAATTTTTGTGGGAAGCTAACAAAAATTAGCAAAGTTTTATATTGAAAGTTTGGAAAGTTTTTGGCTACTATATATAAGGACTAACTTTGTCTTTGGTTTAAATGGTTAACAGAGTTATTTTCGTCAGCCCGAAATCGAGTGTTGCGATTAAGGATTTAACGGTTGTATCCTGAAATTCATGAATCATGATTAAACCTATCATAGTACGAGTGATTTTTTGAGATAAGGAAAAATATTACGATTTTGACTCTGTTTATTGTTTATGCAGTTTCCTATTTATTCATTTGAATTTTTTCTTTAACTCGTTTTATTCGATTTTTTGATTATCATTTTATATTCGTGATTGAATCGCTATTACCGTATTTACAAAATTACTGGTCTTACCGTCTTAACTCAAAGAATTCTGTTTTATTTTATTAACATATCATGAAATTTAATCTCGGATTTTAATTGGCTTTATAACTCTCTCTTCGATCAATTTATAGAGGCATTACAATCAACTTGTAATCGCAAACTCAATTAGGTTTTCTAAAAACAAACCTTAAGTCTCGATTTCGTCTAACGATTTACACAAACGCGTTTTTGAACGCTTTGACGAACTCTCTGCAGAGATTTGAACTTGATCTGCAGATCTTAAATTTTTAATATTGATTCTTACCAAATTAATTCTTCACATACTTTAAAGTATTAATTCTGGTTTGCATCAGAATGACAAACGAAGCTGGCGAAGTTGCCAATGATTTGGAAAAGATGGCGCTGGACGGTATTCCAAGAACCGTAGCTTTATGGTTTGCATCAGAATGACAAACAAAGCTGGCGAAGTTGCCAATGATTTGGAAAAGATGGCGCTGGACGGTATTCCAACAACCGTAGCATCAGGATTGATCGAGACCCGGATCTCGAAAGGAACTCCTGTTCCTCCTCCCAAAAGTTTCGATGGAACTGTAGCTGAGTTTAAGATGTGGAAAAAGAAAGATATTCTTCTATCTGACAACTCTCAACTTGCAGAAATACACAAACGAGGTGAGATGTCATATCTATGAAGGCAACACCGATCCAATGGTGCTTCCAATTGTTTAAGTGTAAGAACACAATGATTACTTGTGCAAAGGTTACATCCTGAACAATTTGAACATCTCCGAGATTGGCAAAGCATAGTTAACAATAATATCTATCCTTAGGGTTTAGTCCGGTCTTCACTAAATAGAGTTGAGAAATTCTAAAAAATTTACAGAATAAAAGTTAAATTTGCAAAAAAAGTTGTTGCTCTTTGTTTTTTGTTGTTGGAGCGTCATGCAAGTAACAAGATAATAAAATGATTTTTTAATATATTTTTAATAATTTTCTGCAAAAAAACCATCTAACTGTACCCTCAACTTGCAACATGTCAAACCATTAAGTCGTATAAAACATATAGTTCAAAACTATTTTAAACTTTTCCTTAAAAAAGCAACAATATCAGGGAATCGAACCCATGACCATATGAAAGTAACTTATGTACATCACCAACTGTGCTAACTTGATTTTAGTTAAAAGTGCTATCATACATATATATATATATAAAGGTATCGTCAAAAGTGCAAAATTCATCAATCGCAAAGTTCTCTACCTAAAACAATCAATTTCAATTCTTTTTACATCTCTGTCTTCTACTAATGATGTTGATTTTTCTCCCTGGTGCAGAATGAATTAAGTTTGTTCAGACATAAAATAGTTGTTCTATTATTTAGCTAAATAGGGAAATTCCGAAGCATAAAAACTTAATCAGAATCTGGAATCATTTGGTATTCTGTCTGGAATCATTCGGTATTTTTGTTTGAATCAGAAACGATTTCTGCCTCATCAGATCAAAAAACATCAACAACGATTGAGGAATTCTTGTTTAAGAACTTTTAAAAATACTTTTATATATTTATATTTGCGTTAGTATCAAAATTGTGTTGGCATAATGTATATGGGTAAATTATTTAGGTGTCATGGGTTCGACTCACACCTCATCTTTTTCTTTTAAAAAAAGATTTTAAAACGACGTAGTTTTAATAAATTATACACAATTTTATACGATTTTCAAAATATATATAAAGTTGAGGGTATATTGCGGATTTGCATTTTTTTGCGAATTGAAGGTACAGTTGCAAAACAAAATCAGTTGAAATTGAAGGTACAGTTGCAAAACATTTTTTTGCAGAAAACCCTTTTTTTTATAATGGAATTGCGATTTTGAGTTAATTTATGCAATTTTTTTTATACGTAAATCGATAATATATCCGATAAAATCACATTTGTAAATCCAGCAATGTTTCCTAATAAAGCCGTTGAGATGACAACGTTTTGGTTCTCATATATAAAAAAGGAAATGAATACAAACACGCCAGTCTAAGAAAAGGCAGAAACTCAAGCAACCTTAGGAACCACGAAAGATTCCGAGTTAGGCACTGTCACGGACCGTAACAGCTCCAACGAGCAAACAAGACCTAGGAAATGAGAAAGCAAGGTGTTCGCCGATGCCTGCACAAAAAAATGGCTCTCAAGGCAAGACAGGGGAACTTACAAGACACCACGTCTTTTTGATAGTTATAGGTACCTGAACGAGGAAGACATCGAGAGCAAGAACGGGACTGTATCCTTGAGAGACTCCTTGATAGAAAGGATTAGCTGAAGTTGTTAAAGCCTTTGCGACTAAAAAACCAACCGTCGCTTGCATCCCGAGAAGCGCCGCTCCCATTCCAAGAAGATTCACCATAATCCCACTTCTCAAACCTTTCACAACATCAGCACGAGGCGGTGCCTGAAACAATATAATCAGCAATTTCAGAGACTTTACTTGATCATACAACAAGTTTAAAGCTTTATAATATGATTCCAGATGGTTCTCTCTCTCTCTGTCTTAGCATTAACAAAGATTCAATAGCTTAGTGCTAGATATAAGCTTCAAAGAACCTAAACCCAACAGAAAAAAGAGTAGTCGTGATTCGAAATGAAGACAACGATGGTTCTCTCTCTCTCACTCTCTTAGCATTGCCAAAGATTCACCAGCTACTGCTACCTAAGAGGCTTCAACGAACCTAACAGCGTTACTGAACCCTATATTCCTTACTGCTTCTACTTAACAAATCAAACTCTTTAAAAGCATAATTTTCCACAGACACCAAACTATGGAAGTGAGTAAAAGGATACAAACTGCAATTGGAGACCTGACTTGATCATGCAACAAGCTTAAATAGTTAAATATGATTCTAGATGGTTCTCTCTCTCTCTCTCTCTCTTAGCATTACCAAAAGATTCAACAGCTACTGCTAGATAAAAAGCTTCAAAGACCAGCCTTTTGTCAAACAGAATAAAACCAGTTTACACATGATAAGAACCTACAAGCGCTACTGAACAAGTGTTTGCTTCCACCGAAAGACAATCAGACAAAGAGAAGTATTGATTATTTACTAACTTCTACTTACAAAAATCAAACCTTTCACTTTGGTATAGTCATTACTAGTACTCTAACTGTTTCGGATCGAGCGAGACATTTTTTACCTTGGCAGGGTCGCCAGCAGTTCGAAGGAGCCTCTCTGAGAGCCGGATATAACCAAACGACCAGAAAACAGAGACAAACGAAGCAGCGATCCCACTCGCGGTTGCATAGAATGTAGCAGGTGAAGTTGGTTTCCCAGTTACAACAATGGAGAAGGACAGAATCACAGCAGCAACTACAGTTGACACAAGCTGCCCCCAGAAACCGATACTCCCCAGCCTCTTGAAGTATCTTGAAGTCTTCTCCAATCTCTTTGCAACCTGTGAAACCATTCAACTGTAATTTCACCACCAATACAATCTTCTACTAAGAGATACAGTTTCTGCTTCTTAAACGACTCAAATTACTGGAATTCTTCATAGTTCACATTGGATTTCAGTGGTTCCCAAATGTTATCCACTTCCTAAAATCAAAAGCTGATTCATGGTTATCTTCAAATTCCGGAAATTGCATCAAAAACGTTTCATTTCCATCATTTCCCAAAGTATCATTACGATTGGTTATATCCTCAGATGATCATCACGTTCTCACTCTACAAGTCTACATTAAATTCAGCTATGGCTTGTTTCAAAATCAAGATGGCAATTTAGATTCGAGCTGGAAAAGCTAAAGAAAAGGACAAAGAGATTACAGTTTCTGCTTCTTAAGCGACTCAAATTACTGGAAAAAGATTCTTCATAGTTCATACTAAACCCTTAAATTTCAGTTTTAAAATCTCGAAAACCTCACTTAAATCCAAATTCCAATTCCTGAAATCAATAGCTGTTTCAGAGGAATCTTTAAATTCTGGAAATTGCATCAAAATCGTTTCATTTCTCATCATTTCCGAAATTATCTTTCGATTACTTAAATCATTACGCTATAAAAATGAAGACGGAAATTACAATTCGAGCTGGGAAAAAGCTGAAGGAAAAAGGCTCAAGACAAGGGGAGAGAACCTGAGCGAGCTTTGCTTTGTCGACCTCAATATCTCCGGAAACGGAACCAGGAGACGTCGGAGAGGAAGACGCCACCGTGGATGGTGCGAAACTAGGTTTAGATCCTCGGATTTGGATACCATAGACAAGCGGAGACGATGGCGATTGGTACGAAGAGATGGTGGCTCTCCTCTTCGGGGCCAGGACAAGTGGATTAAACAAGGGAATGGGGCGAGTTGAGAGGCGTTGCTGAAAACCTGGCCGCAGTGCGACGGCGGATACGCCGGAGGAGCTCGCCGGCGGCAAGAGTAGTGACAGCATATTTACTGGAGTGAAAGAGTAAAGTTGTGAAATTCGTTCTTTTTTAGGCTTTTGTCTATCTCGTTGCAGTGGGCTTTTCGCTATCTACCTAACGGCCTTTGAGAGAATATTTTGCTTTTACCTTTTTCTTCATTATTTTCGGAGAGAATTGTTTTTTGCATTTTTTCCAGCATGTCCAAATCCAAGACCGAAGAAAGGCCCATCGGATCCTCAAGCTGGTCGAACTGGTTTCATCTAGAGGAAGTTTTAGACCGGTTGGGTTTGGCGACCATTACAACTTTTTAATTATTTAGACGTTTTAGCATACTAAATGATATACATCCACTTCAATTTTTATTTTTTGAGACATGTTCACACTAGTAAGAGCATTTAAACAGTTTACCCAATAGTTTTTTTTAATTTATTTTACAACTTTTTCTTTTTTTTTGAAATCTGAATATCATTTTTTTATTAGAAATTGTTTAATTTTAATTGATCAACTAATAAAAATGTCAAAAATATATAAATAGATGAGAATCACAAAAATAAGAGGAGAGACCCAAAAAAGGGAATGAGAACTCCAAAGATTGAATGAGAGCCCAAAGATTGAACAAGAGTCCCAGAGAAATCAAATAAAGGTGCCAGGAGGTCCACAAAAATCCTCGGGAGGCACCAAGACGAGCTTAGAGAAACCATTATATCCTGTAAACGCCAAAAAACATTAAGCTTAGAGGAGCTCCCATATCCTAGAGACACCAAATAGCATATATTCATCGGCGAAACTGATTGACATTATCCGGATCATCCTTTCTCTTTTCGACTGAGACCACAAAGGATGCCATCCAAGGTAAGAAAACCTCTTACTTTATGTACCAACCAACTTAGAGCCTTTACCTTATCTCATGCCGTTTATGATCGATCCAGGCCATTACCAAATAAACAGATGAGTGTCACAATCGTTGGACGTGATGCTCCACTTGAACCACCTCACATTTACCCTTCCAATGGTAGGTGTCTGACTTAAACGTCACAGAATCTTTCGGAGTGAAAGCTCTTTTTGTCGCTTAAAATTGTACCTAAAGATCAACCGGAAATTTCTTAAAATTGTAAACCAACTAACTATTGATATGACCTAAACATAATCTATCGATTGACTACCCTGACCGATCGATTGGAGCTTTGGTGAAAATGAAAAGTTTTAATTTCTTAAATGATTTTGCCAATAACTCCACAAATTTACACTAGCCGATCTCTTCACCTATATAAGCACCAGAGAACCACAAAAATACTTTGACCGTTCCAGATGAGCCACCATATAAAATTTCATTTTTTTTTTGTTTGAGAACTTGCTATTTCCATTGTTTTCATTGCTTTGTAAAGGAAAAGTAAAAATCGAGGCGAAGGAGTACATGTCTAGTTGAGACGAAGATAGAGTTTCTGGAGAAATGGTAGATAAGGCTTACTACAACATTGCCACGCATCCTAGAGGAGTACAGGTCTAGCTGAGGTGAAGCTGGGTTTCCGGAGAAACAATGAATGTTACACGCGTGATGCGCCTGAAGGGTGAACTTGATGCAAGCGAAAGAATACTAACAGAAAGACAACAGATAGTCTTGGCAAAGAAAAGTTCATGAAAGGGTTCAAACAGGTAATGAATCACCCGAGCACTTAGGAAAAGAGGTAGTTATGTGATCACACAAGCATAGAATCACAAAATCATGTAAATGTGTATGCACACAATCACTCAAGCAAGAAATTGTGCAAACATGTAAGCGCGGAATCAATCAAGCAGGAAATAATGCAAACATGCAACACAGAATTACTTAAGCAGGAAATTATGCAAACATGTAATGCAGAGTCATACCATTGCCTTGTGTTTCATCGCTGACATAGACAATGTTTCACCGGTGTCCTTGGGGACTTTGGGCACTTTAGGTTATTTTTCCGGGTGTGACTTGCTGTTCTTCCGGACGGGGAGAGAGGTTCTGTTGTCGATGAGTGGGATCCACGTGGCAGGCTGTCATTCACCTGATATGTGGGAAGTTATACCACACTGTTTGCATTGCTTCTCGTGAACTGGTCGTTTGTCTGCGCAAGAGGTCGTTTGTCTCCCCCATCATAATAAAATATTTTTTCGAGCGCACGGTTCGAGGGTCATTTATTTACCGATATGGCCCTATGCTTTTCTGTTGTTTACGGATGGTCGCAACCGCTTTCGCGCGTCGCTTCGGTTTGTTCTCTGTCTCATAAAAGGGCCGTGGACCGTCAATATTCCCCAATGCTTCCTTTTTCGATTGTGATTCGAGCTTTCCCCCTTTTCGACTAGACTTTTCTTTCTCGTAACCCAACGTGATGTTCTTGTCTTCGTCAAGCTCGTATGGGGATTCTTGGCATGCCTCTTTTTGGTGGACCAGGGACAATGTAGAATTCGCCGCTGTTCCTGCAGATCCGGTTGGAAGGTTTGACCGGCCTCTTTCGATGTGTGTGCCAGAGAGCGTGGAGAGGGTTACCTCAGCGGCCTATCCCCTCCGCGTCCCCCCTCAACCCTATTTTTTCCAACGAGGAGGACCAAGTAGATCGTGCCCCGCCCCACTGCATCGCTATTTACGATGACTACATCCTCTACAGTTGATAACTTGCATAATTGCATTATTTTAGACGTCATTTAGTATAGTTTTTCATGGCATATCAACATTCATAGTAGGTTTAGTGTGCATTAGGATTATGAATGCATGTTTGGTTGTATTTGGAGATTTGGAGACCTGTTGATCAAATGGAGTTCAAGTGGATGCATTGAAGAGAGCAAAGGGAAGAGAAGCAAGAAGAAACATTCGCACCGGGCAGCCACCGGCCTACACACCTTGAGCAAGCGGAACATAATTTCCCATTATCTACACCGGGTGCCTGCACCAGCTTGACCACCCTGCTGCAAGTCGACCGGATTTCCCTAGATCTGCATCGGCCATATGCACCGGCCTCCACTCCCCGATGTGGATGAGAAGATCTCCTTCTTTTTGAATTTTCTCTGATTTTGACTTTGGTCAATATCCGATTTTTAACCATTAACCAAGGCGTAGTCTTTTGACTATTTAAGCAAACCTTATCAACAAATAATCTTATCTTGGCTTTTTTTTGAATTTTCTTTTTTTTTTCCCAGAAATTTTTGGATTTGTAAGCATAATTTGAGTTTTAATTAAGAGTTTGCAATTCTATCTTTAAATCATCTTTGTATTGCTTTTGATTATGATTTCTCAAATTGTTTCCCTAATTTTTGCCATGATCTCTATGTGTTCTGAGTAGTTTTTTTAGGGTTCTAAGGATGGGTTAGATCCATGGTGATTTAGTGGGTTATCCTTGATGTTTAGTGTGTAATATTGATTGATCTTTTCTTATTTGATTTTCTTAATGTTTAATCTTTATTGATCACCTAGATATCAAAATTCGGCTTTTTCTGCACCAAAAGTGTTTGATGAAATGCCTGAACCAATCATTTAGGAGATTTACCTGCCTTACACATGAGAATGGTTGACTATGGAGTATTTTCGCTTGATAGAACTGATATTTCATGCTTGTTGATTGCTTGATCACTAATGAAAACTAGCTTTGGTTAAGTTGTTAGAAAATGGATCATTGTCAAGAGATTGAACTGATCTGCTTGTTTAGAATTCTATGCTGAAGGATTAGCCTTATTGGTTGAGTTTGCATATCTAGAATTGACTGCTCTTTCACCATTGGATCAATAATCTCATCCTAAGACTCCAACTTGCTTAGGGCGAATTTGAGCCCCCTTGCACTGTCCAGACTTGTATTTCCCCCACACTAGTCTGATCCCACACTCTTTTATGTTCACCCTTAGCAACATCCATTTGATTGCTCATTGTTCTCCCAGCTCTGAACCCAAAGACTTCATCCAATTGGTTGAACCCCATATGGTAGATGGTTCTCCCCACTTTGAACTTGATGTAGCCATGCCAAAACAACGGATTTCCCTCTTCTCCTTCTTCATAAAAGAACACCTCAAGTGATGAGATAAATTGGCAAGTGGCAGTTTTGTGAGAAGGGTACACCATAGTGAAGAATTTCTCTAGTCCCATCTCCTTGAAGAGCAACAGACTTTCTCCCAAGATCCCAATGTAGTTTAACAGCTCCACAGCAGCATATCTTGTTCCATTGAAAACTATCCCCATTGCTTTCTTGTAGAGTTCATCATATGTGGGGTTAGGGGCCTCCTTTGAAGCCTTCTTTTGCTTCCATTTCTTAGCCCATTTTACTTTGCTCTGCTTAGACCTTCTCTCATGATGTCCCTCTGAATCAGAACTACTGCCATGAAGCACAAGCCTCTTTCCTTTCTTAGCAGCACTTGCTCTTGCTGCTGCAGCCTTAGTCCTAGTGTTTCCTTCCTTCCTCCTCATGTCTTTTGCTGAAAATAAGTCGTAGCAAGGAGATAGGCTGGTGTGACAAGCCGGGCTAATTCCTTAACTTCTCGGGTTGGGTTACAGCAAGGAGATACGCTGGGTGACTCCTCGGGCTAATTTCTCAACTTCTTGGGCTACTCCACACCGTCAAGACAAGCCTGGGTGACTCCCCGTGCTAACTCACTTTTTTCTCGGATAGCTTTCCACCGATGAGACAAGCCGAGGTAACTCGCCAGTGCTTCCTATAAAACTTTCTTCCTTCCCTTTTGGCTATCTAAACATGATTCACACAACACTAAAACAGAAAGATTAAAAATAAAAACAAGTATTTACAGGGATAACATGAGAATACCTTCCAAGTGTGCTTGTTTTACATCTCTTAGCTTGATGTTCCACCCCTTTCTTCTAGTTGGGGAAAGTAGGAGTTGTTGAACTCCTTGCTGGTCTTTGTATGGTGTGAAGGGACTCGACAAATGCAAAAGGTTGAGATATTTCCTTGCTCTTGACCTTGTACACCAGCCCTTTATCAGATGAGCTCACCAGCTTCATGCTTAACCCATTGGAGATAGAGTTCATCTTAAGATCATTCCCCTTAGTCTTCTTTAA